CAATGACCTAGTCGTGGCGGTCCAGGGCATTCGTCTCTACTTGGCCAGCCCATACGGGCCGCCCCCACCGCTCCACCAGACCGCGGCCACGGGCCAGCAGGCGCTGCCGTGGTACCCCGTACCGGCGGCTACCCGGCGCTTCCCGCTCCGACGGCTTCGACGACGCCCTGGCCACAATGGCCGACGCCGTTCACGGTGCCAACCGCGCCATCCGCCTCCGCCCAGGGACCGCAGTGGCCGACCTGGACTCCACCATCCGCGCCACCCTCCACCGCGCCGTCCCTCCCGGCGGCCACGGCGCGCGCTCCACCACCGCCACCGCCCAACCCTGGGCCGGGCGGGTCCTCGCCGAGCGGCCTCCCTATCCAGGAGGTCCGCTTTCCTTCGTCGCCATCGCCGCTGCCCGACTGGCTCCACGGGCCGCCGTCGGCTCCCACGGAGGCCCGGCCCTCGTCAGGGTCCCCGTGGCAGCCCGAGGCGTCGGGCGTCCCAGGGCAGTACGCCGGGCCGTCTACCCTGGACCGGGCGCCGTCCTCCGCACCGCCAAGGCCGTGGCCCCGGGCACCCCACACCAACAGCCGCCCCGGTTCGCCAAAATTGACTTCGCCACGTACGACGGTTCCGAAAACCCGCTTAACTGGCTAAACCAATGTGACCAGTTCTTCCGTGGACAGCGCACGCCCGCGTTCGAGCGCACGTGGCTGGCTTCCTACCATCTTCGCGGGGCCGCCCAGACCTGGTACTACGCCCTCGAGCAGGACGAGGGCGGCATGCCACCGTGGGATCGCTTCCGCGAGCTCTGTCTTCTTCGCTTCGGGCCACCGGTACGCGGGAGCCGCTTGGCCGAGTTGGGCCGCCTACCATTCACCTCCACAGTGCAGGATTTCGCCGACCGCTTCCAGGCTCTAGCGTGCCACGCGCCTGGTGTGACAGCCTTACAGCGGGCGGAGCTCTTCGTCGGCGGCCTTCCCGACCACATCCGCGTGGACGTTGAGATGAAGGGACCACAAGACCTTCAGACGGCATGTACTACGCGCGGGCGTTCGAGCAGCGTGCCCAGGCTTTGACGTCGCCACGGCCATCCGCGCCGCGTGGGGGCCGCCAGCCTCCCCTCCCGCCTCCGGCAGCACCGGCGTCCTCTACCACCGCCCCGGCCGCTACCCCAGCCCCGACACGGCCGTTCCGGCGGGCCTCACTCAGGCGGAGCAGCTGGAACGCAGGCGCCTGGGCCTGTGCTTCAACTGCGATGCGCCATATGCGCCGGGCCATGTTTGTCCGCGCCTTTTCTACCTGGAGACGACGGACGAGATCGAGGATGACACCCCGGAGGCCGACCTCGGCGCCCCGACTCTTGCGGAGCCCGTAGCGGCACCTGCACCGGGCCCGGCTACCGCCTTCGTGGTGTCCCTTCACGCGCTGGCCGGCATCCGTGATGAACGAACGATGCTTTTACCGGTCATGATCCATGGCGAGCGCCTGGTGGCCCTCCTGGACACAGGTTCCACGCATAATTTCCTGCCAGAGGCCACCATGCGGCGTCTTGCGCTCCAGCCGGCCGGAGGAGAGCAGTTACGGGTCACGGTCGCGAATGGCGACCGTCTACGCTGCCATGGGCTCGCCCGCGACGTGCCCATCACTATCGGCGACGAGCACTTCACCATCACATGCGCCGGCATCGATTTGGGCTGCTTCGACTTTATCCTCGGCGTCGACTTCTTGCGCATGTTGGGTCCTATCCTTTGGGACTTTGACGCGCTAACGATGACCTTCTGGCGTTTGGGTCGTCGCATTCGGTGGGAGGGCATTCGGGGGGCCGCACCCGCGCCCCCTCTTCAGCTGGCCACGGCGACCACGGAGGCCGAGCATCCGCTCTTGGACGGGCTCCTGCAGCAGCACCGGGATCTCTTTGAGGAGCCGCAGGGTCTGCCACCGGCCCGGATCTACGACCACCGTATTCACCTCCTTCCGGGATCGGCCCCTGTGGCCGTGCGGCCTTACCGGTATCCACAGCTGTAGAAGGACGAGTTGGAGCGACAGTATGCACTCATGCTTGCCGCCGGCATCATCCGCATCTCCACGTCCCCGTTTACAGCACCGGTCCTCCTCGTGCGTAAGTCGGATGGCACGTGGCGTTTCTGCATTGACTACCGTGCCCTTAATGCTCTCACATTGAAGGACAAGTTTCCTATTCCGGTTGTCGATGAGCTTCTCGACGAGCTGCACAGGGCACGCTTCTTCACCAAGCTGGACCTTCGATCAGGGTATCATCAGGTGCGCATGCATCCAGACGACATCGCCAAGACGGCGTTTCGGACTCATCACGGCCACTTCGAGTTCTTGGTGATGCCCTTTGGCCTCTCCAACGCCCCGGCGACGTTTCAGGCCTTGATGAACGATGTCCTTCGGCCCTACTTACGCCGGTTTGTGCTCATTTTCTTTGATGACATTCTTATCTACAGCGCCTCTTGGGCAGAGCACCTCCAGCATGTGGCCATCGTCTTCAACGAGCTTCGGGCGCATCATCTTCATCTTAAGCGCTCGAAGTGCTCGTTCGGGACGCCGTCGGTCGCTTACCTCGGCCACGTCATCTCGGCCAAGGGAGTGGCCATGGATGCCGACAAGGTCGCGGCCGTCGCCGCCTGGCCGATTCCGCAGTCTCCGCGTGCTCTTCGCGGGTTTCTTGGCCTCGCGGGGTACTACCGGAAGTTCATCCGGGAGTTTGGCCTCATCGCGGCCCCACTCACGCGTCTCCTCCGGCGCGACGCCTTCTCTTGGGACGAGGAGGCCACTTCAGCCTTCGAGGCCCTCAAGGGGGCCCTCATGACGGGACCCGTACTGCAGATGCCGGATTTTGACCTCCCCTTCACCGTCGACTGCGACGCTTCCGGTGCGGGGTTCGGTGCGGTCCTACACCAGGGCGAGGGACCCCTCGCTTTCTTCAGTCGCCCATTTGCCGCACATCATCTTAAGTTGGCGGCGTATGAGCGTGAGCTCATTGGGTTGGTGCAGGCCGTACGCCATTGGGGGCCCTATCTTTGGGGTCGCTCTTTCCGGATCCGCACGGATCATTACAGCCTCAAGTTCATGCTAGATCAGAGGCTCTCGACGGTGCCCCAGCACCAATGGATCAGTAAACTCTTTGGCTTTGACTTCACCGTCGAGTACCGTCCGGGTCGCCTTAACACCGTCGCCGACGCCCTGTCTTGGCGTGATGCCGATGTGGACGACGGTGCGGCGGAGGGGGCGGCCTTCTGCATCATCACCGGGCCCTCCTTCGCCCTCTACGACGACATCCGCCGGGCGACTGCTGCTGCGGCCGATTCCCTCCTCCTACAACAGCAGTTGGCGGCGGGTGAGCTGAAGGAACCGTGGCGCCTTGCCGATGGCCTGCTTCTCCATGGGCGCCGGGTCTTCGTTCCGGCACACGACGATCTTCGCCAGCAGGTGCTGCGCCTCGCTCACTCGGCGGGCCATGAGGGAGTGCAGAAGACGCTCCATCGTCTCCGCACCGACTTCTACATTCCCAGTGATCGTGCCTTGGTCCGTGACTGGGTACGGTCGTGTGTGACGTGCCAGCGCAACAAGACGGAGACTCTACGGCCGGCTGGCATGCTGCAACCCTTGGAGGTCCCTACTCAGGTTTGGGCGGACATCTCCATGGACTTCATCGAGGGCCTTCCCAAGGTGGGCGGCAAGTCTGTCATTCTCACGGTGGTCGACCGCTTCTCCAAGTATGCTCATTTCATACCGCTCGGCCATCCATATTCAGCGGCATCGGTTGCCCGGGCCTTCTTCGATGGCATTGTCCGTCTCCACGGGTTCCCTTCTTCGATCGTCAGTGATCGGGACCCCGTGTTCACGGGACACGTGTGGCGTGACCTTTCCCGGCTGGCGGGCGTGAAGCTACGCCTCAGCACAGCCTTCCACCCTCAGACGGACGGCCAGTCTGAGATCGTTAACAAGGTGATTGCCATGTATTTGCGCTGTGTTACAGGTGATCGCCCTCGTGCATGGGTGGACTGGCTCTCGTGGGCAGAGTACTGCTACAACACCTCTTATCACTCCGCCCTGCGAGCTACGCCCTTTGAGGTGGTGTATGGCCGGCCACCCCCGCCGATCCTGCCGGTTGATCCGGCCTCGGCGCGGACCGAGGCAGCCGGGGCCCTTCTGAGAAGTCGTGATGAGATGATCGCGGAGATCCAGCAACGACTCCTGCAGGCCCAGCAGTTGGCCAAACGTTACTATGATGGCCACCATCGCGAGGCGGAGTACGCGGTGGGTGATTGGGTCTGGCTGCGTCTACTTCACCGCTCTACGCAGTCCTTGGACCCCCGCGCGAGGAAGAAGCTCGGTCCTCGCTATGCCGGTCCCTTTGCGATCCTGGAACGCATTGGAAAAGTGGCTTACCGTCTGCAGCTTCCGGCAGGCGCCCGGATCCATGATGTCTTCCATGTCGGGCTGCTCAAGCCATTCCGCGGGGAGCCACCTGCGGCACCGCCGGCTCTTCCACCGGTCACGGACGGGCGTCTCCTTCCTGAACCAGAGAAGGCGTTGCAGGCTCAGCTGCGCCGAGGCTCCTGGTACGTGTTGATCCGGTGGACTGGACTACCAGAGGAGGATGCTACTTGGGAGCAGCGTGAGGAGTTCCTCCAGCACTACCCCGACTTTCAGCTCGAGGACGAGCTGTTTGCGCAGGCGGGGAGAGATGTTATGACCGGCCAGGTCTATGGCCGAAGGAGGCCCAACAGGCAGGCTTAGGCCCGCAAGTTATCTTAGTTTTTATTTTCAGATTATGCAAGATATCTTAGGTTAATTCTTATACAAGTTATCTTAGGTTAATTCTTCTGCAAGTTATCTAGGATATAAATATAGGTTGTAAGACTCTTTTTGGAATTAAGCAATAAGACTATTTCTATTGCCCGGCTCCCAGAGGAGCCGGAAACCCTAAACCCTAGCCGCCTCCTTCTCTCGCTGCCGCCGCACCGCGCCAGGACGGCGCCCCGCCGCCGGCCGCCGCGCTCAAGCCCTCGCCCTTCCCCCTCCTTCCCCTACTGTCTCCGACCAAGACCGGGCAGAACCCTAGCCGCTAACAGTATGAGTGTTAGTTTCCATCAGTTCAGGATCTGTGAAGGTGCGCATTGATAGGTCTACCAATGGAAACGAGCTTTCAATTGCCCATTCCTCTACCTTAAGTATTCCATTCTGAGATAAAGCTGAAGAATAATCGAATAACTTGGTCTTGGGTTCATTGCCATATAGTATACATACTTGCAGTAGTAAGATAGTAGTTCTTTATAATGCAGTATCTTAGGAGTACACTGCTGTGTAGTATGATATGGGTTATTTAACATTATGTCCTAAATAATGGAAATATTTATTAGAAAGATGTGATTAATATGTGAACTTGTATATTTGCAAATGGGTGTAACTACTAGAAAATATAGAGCAAGTAATGGGCTAGATTTTTTTGTACATCATATCATCATTGCGTGCACCAGCAGCCATGAAGGGATGGAAGATATTAACACTTCATATCTCCGTGCCTATCATTTATGTGTATTTACTATGGGTACTGTGTAAACATTGATATTATGTCTCTTAAAATAATTTCCTTGCCATAAGGTAAACATTATTCCATGTTTTGTCTTTAAAATATCTCTTGAGGCATGCCAAGATCAAGAAGTGCATGCTTCAGTACTGTATCAAGTATTGACTATTCGAAATAGTATTTAATATAGACCTGTCTACTATGGTGTCCTGTTGTAGTGAAATGCTGATATATTAAAACTCATTGACTCTCGCAAACTATGTTATTGTTTGAGTATTAGTTTCGTAAAACAAAAACATAATCAACTTTCTCTGAATAAAATCAAGACAAATGCTTTTCGAGAAAGAAATGTAGGATCTTCAATCTTTGTAGCAGTGGTTGAGGTGCAAGAAGTGTCCCCATCTGGCATTTGCTTGCCGATGATGTTTGCTCTTTCTAATTCTAGTCACCAGCTCAACAAAGCGAAAAACTTTAGGTCCTAATTAATTGAACTTTGCATAGCTTAAGTGTAAAGTGTCCCATCTATCATGGAATTGTCCATTGATAACAAAATTCTTTGTCCACAAGGTTACATGAGGTGTCCAAGGATCTTAGATGATCTCCTAGATCAGTGTGATATCCTTTCTTTTAATTGAAAACTGTAGGGGAGGCCCCGAATCAGTGTGGTATCCTGGATTATTATGCAATATGCACAAGGTTTTCAGCTCTCTGAATTCTCTGTTAGGCATGACGCATGCATTGTCTGGAATATAACATGGGCATAAATCATGTGGGATGCTATATTTGTTTTAATATGGTAGAAAAAGTGTAGTGGCCTTATAGACTGCCTATGTAAGTATGTATTTATAGTATCTTTGAAGTATATGCAGTTTCTTACGAGGCTTCTTTTATCATCTCAATTTTCAGGGTGCTCAGCCTTGTTCATACTATGCCCAAAATGGGTATTGTAGATATGGAGTTGCATGCAAGTATGATCACCCGATGGGTACGCTTGGCTACAGTTCATCTCCTTTTCCCCTGTCTGACGTGCCAATTGCTCCCTATCCTCTTGGCTTCTCTATTGCCACATTGGCTCCATCTTCATCTTCCCAAGATCTAAGGCCAGAATATATTTCAGCTAAAGACCCATCAGTCAACCAAGTAGGATCGCCAGTGGCAGCATCTGAGCCGTCTGGATCAATTTTGCCAAAAGGGGTTTTCCCGCCAGACACGGTAATGCGTGCTCAGACTAATACGACAACTGGTGGTAGTTCAAGCCCTGGTGGTGGTCGCTGATTTTTCTGAGCTGAGTCGAGAGATCTCTTATCTCTCAGAACAATTTTCCAATCATTTGACACAGGTAGATTTGAACCTTCCATGATTTCCCCCCATGTATAATAACATTGCAGTGCTATTGCTAATCGTTCTATCTTATTGTGTTGAAATCAGTTCTGATAGGCCCCTCCGATGTGAATAAAAAGCCGTGGCCTCTGTAGAGAAGGCTCGGCGAGGGTGGTTTTCTCTGCCACCTCAATAAAAAAGCATTGATAGGTTACAAGCAAGCTCGATTCACTTGCAACTTTTTGCGCTCTTCTGTTCATCTCTGAGACTGGAAAAGGAAGGTTTTTGGATATCAGGTTCGATATCTCGCAATCGGTGTGGATACTCATATCCATTCCCTTGGTAAATAAATTCTTGGGCAAGGAAATCACCACATGAAGAAATTACTGGGTTTTGGTCCTAGCCTTCCCAAGTCATTTTCTTTTTGTTCTGTATATTGTCATATATATTATATTATATATATCATCAACAGACTTGAGACTTAAAACTGCATAAGTACATATATATAGGAGCAAGGCACATTGTAATGAACACTGAACGTTTATATAATAAAGTATCGCTGTCAAACCTTATCCAGTTTCAGACTACCGGTGTCTATTTCTTTGCTAGTACATGCTACCGCTTCGAACTAACAGTTATTGCAAGTGGCTGGCACTAGTTGTACTTGTAAATCATTTGATGCACGCATCACGTCTACATTATGCTCCATTTTTCTATCAAATAACGATGCTAGTTTCATTTTAGTTATTAAATATACGAAACTATTGGTCATTCATTATTGAGGAATGAGCCCGATGGGTGTTCCACACGCTTGTAAAAAAAAGGTGCCATTGGATGCTCCATTACCCCGTGGATAAACAACCACTCGTTGGCGTCTTAAAAAAAACTATTGGCATCTTCTCTGATGAATAGCTGAGCGCATGCTCGACTTTGTTGGAGATACTGGAAGGAAGACTGTCAAGTGCCAAAATTTCAGCATGTAACCAAAACCGATATAGCCATTGTTAGGATATTTTGACACACTAAAGTTAAGCATCGACTACTCATTCACCATGGATCTTTTGATCATGTCACAGGTTGGGGAAAAAGACTAGATATGAGGTTTGACAATAAAGACGTAGTGGTTTAACCTAGAGTCAGACCCTCAGATGAGTTATAGCCCTAAATTTAGAGAGTATAAAGAATGAGTTTTGCTTAGACCCCTACCCACCCCTCATTTAAAAAGTTTACACAAATCTTGAATTTACTTAGCCTGTAAATCAAACGCATTGAATACATTAATCTGGATACAAAAGATTATCAGTTTTGCTAGAATTCATCTAGATGAGATTTAATTTGGTTTCATTCACCTTTTATAGCCATTGGATGTGGTGCTATAAGATGTGTGTGTGCTGACGTGGGTTGTATCCGTTCTTATTTTCCAGGTGAATGAGGCCAAATTACGTCTCATCTAGATGAGTTCTAGGTACTCCCAAAGATTATATTATCCTTTTTAATTGAAGGGGTAACTCCTAATCTCCATCTTTAATTTGTATCAAAATCTGTAAACTTTTTCTTCGATCTAACCTGAACCAGATAGAATCTGAATCTCTGTGCTTTATTGTGTTATCTCTGGATCGTAGATAGCACACACAGTAACAAATGAATATCAAGATACATATCATTTATTACAACTCGATGAGTTTAGAGTTTAAATTATACAACTTGCACAACTCATGGTCGGCTCATAACACATCGGAAACATAAATAAAAATAGCTTTAAGGCCACTTCCAATGCATAGGTGCTTAGATAAGGTGCTAAGTATATTAAAAAGTTTAGCTACTAATGTCCATAATGTTGGGGAATGCAGTAATTTAAAAAAAATTCCTACGCACACGCAAGATTCATCTAGGTGATACATAGCAACGAGAGGGGAAGAGTGTTGTCTATGTACCCTCGTAGATAGTAAGCGGAAACGTTATGACAATGCGGTTGATGTAGTCGTACGTCTTCACGATTCGACCGATCCTAGCACCGAAGATACGACACCTCCGCGATCGGCACACGTTCAGCTCGATAACGTCCCGCGAACTCTAGATCCAACTGAGTGTTGAGGGAGAGTTTCGTCAGCACGACGGCGTGATGATGGTGATGATGAAGCTACTAGTGCAAGGCTTCGCCTAAGCACTGCAACGATATGACCGAGGTGGATTGTGGTGGAGGAGGGCACCGCACACGGCTAAACAATGTGAACTTGTGTGTTCTAGGGTGCCCCCCTGCCCCCATATATAAAGGAGCAAGGGGGAAGCCGGCAGGCCCTAGGGCGCGCCAAGGAGGGGAGGAATCCTCCTCCTACTAGGAGTAGGATTCCTCCTTTCCTAGTCCTACTAGGAGGGGGAAGGAAGGAGTGGAGAGAGGAAGAAAAGGGGGCGCCACCCCCTCCTAGTCCAATTCGGACTCAAGGGGAAGGGGGCTCCGGTGTCCGAATATAGCTGTCCAATATATCAATCTTTATGTCTCGACCATTTCGAGACTCTTCATCATGTTCGTGATCCTATCCGGGACTCCAAACTATCTTCGGTACATCAAAACACATAAACTCATAATACCGATCGTCACCGAACGTTAAGTGTGCGGACCCTACGGGTTCGAGAACTATGAAGACATGACCGAGACACGTCTCCGGTCAATAACCAATAGCGGAACCTGGATGTTCATATTGGCTCCTACATATTCTACGAAGATCTTTATCGGTCAAACCGCATAACAACATACATTATTCCCTTTGTCATCGGTATGTTACTTGCCCGAGATTCGATCGTCGGTATCTCAATACCTAGTTCAATCTCGTTATCAGCAAGTCTATTTACTCATTCCATAATACTACATCTCGTAACTAACTCATTAGTCACATTGCTTGCAAGGTTTATAGTGATGTGCATTACCGAGAGGGCCCAGAGATACCTCTCCGTACACGGAGTGACAAATCCTAATCTCGATCTATGCTAACTCAACAAACACCATCGGAGACACCTGTAGAGCATCTTTATAGTCATCCAGTTACGTTGTGACATTTGATAGCACCCTAAGTATTCCTCCGATATTCGGGAGTTGCATAATCTCATAGTCATAGGAACATGTATAAGTTATGGAGAAAGCAATACCAATAAACTAAATGATCATAGTGCTAAGCTAACGGATGGGTCAAGTCAATCACATCATTCTCTAATGATGTGATCCCGTTCATCAAATGATAACTCTTTGTCCATGGTTAGGAAACTTAACCATCTTTGATTAACGAGCTAGTCAAGTAGAGGCATACTAGTGACACTCTGTTTGTCTATGTATTCACACATGTACTAAGTTTTTGGTTAATACAATTCTAGCATGAATAATAAACATTTATCATGATATAAGGAAATATAAATAACAACTTTATTATTGCCTCTAGGGCATATTTCCTTCAGTCTCCCACTTGCATTAGAGTCAATAATCTAGATTACATTGTGATGATTCTAACACCCATGGAGTCTTGGTGCTGATCATGTTTTGCTCGTGAGAGAGGTCTAGTCAAGGGTCTGCAACATTCAGATCTGTATGTATCTTGAAAATTTCTATGTCTCCCTCCTTGACTTGATCGCGGATGGAATTGAAGCGTCTCTTGATGTGCTTGGTTCACTTGTGAAATCTGGATTCCTTTGCCAAGGCAATTGCACCAGTATTGTCACAAAAGGTTTTCATTGGACCCGATGCACTAGGTATGACACCTAGATCGGATATGAACTCCTTCATCCAGACTTCTTCATTTGCTGTTTCCGAAGCAGCTATGTACTCCGCTTCACATATGGATCCCGCCATGACGCTCTGCTTGAAACTGCACCAACTGACAGCTCCACCATTCAATAAAAACACGTATCCGGTTTGTGACTTAGAGTCATCCGGATCAGTTTGAAAGCTTGCATTGATGTAACTGTTTACGACGAGCTCTTTGTCACCTCCATAAACGAGAAACATATCCTTAGTCCTTTTCAGGTATTTTAGGATGTTTTTGACCGCTGTCCAGTGATCCACTCCTGGATTATTTTGGCACCTCCCTGCTAAACTAATAGTAAGGCACACATCAGGTCTGGTACACATCATTGCATACATGATAGAACCTATGGCTGAAGCATAGGGAATGACTTTTATTTTCTCTCTATCTTCTGCAGTGGTCGGGCATTGAGTCTGACTCAACTTCACACCTTGTAACACAGGCAAGAACCCTTTCTTTGCTTGATCCATTTTGAACTTCTTCAAAACTTTACCAAGGTATGTGCTTTGTGAAAGTCCAATTAAGCGTCTTGATCTAGATTTTGATGCCCAATATATAAGCAGCTTCACCAAGGTCCTTCATTGAAAACTTCTTATTCAAGTATCCTTTTATGCTATTCAGAAATTTCGTATCATTTCCGATCAACAATATGTCATCTACATATAATATCAGAAATGCTACAGAGCTCCCACTCACTTTCTTGTAAATACAGACTTCTCCAAAAGTCTGTATAAAACCATATGCTTTGATCATACTATCAAAGCGTACATTCCAACTCCGAGAGGCTTGCACCAGTCCATAAATGGATCGCTGGAGCTTGCACACTTTGTTAGCACCTTTTGGATCGACAAAACCTTCTGGTTGCATCATATACAACTCTTCTTTAAGATATCCATTAAGAAATGCAGTTTTGACATCCATTTGCCAAATTTCATAATCATAAAATGCGGCAATTGCTAACAGGATTCATACGGACTTAAGAATCGCTACGGGTGAGAAGGTCTCATCGTAGTCAACTCCTTGAACTTGTTGAAAACCTTTTGCAACAAGTCGAGCTTTGTAGACAGTAACATTATCGTCAGTGTCAGTCTTCTTCTTGAAGATCCATTTATTCTCTATGGCTTGCCGATCATCGGGCAAGTCAACCAAAGTCCACACTTTGTT